AGAATTATGCCGACCCAGTCCATAAAAAAATAGCATCCTAGAAATAGACAACATGGTAAACTCTATTTTTGTTGTACCTCCTTGTGCTTATTCAGAGTCAGAGGTCTAAATGAAATAATCACCGCACTTCTAAATGGAAAATTAAATGCAGAAGTATTTTTGTGTTCCTGATTGGTTATCATATTGAGTTAGGTGCGGCTTGTTCCCATTCTAATACATATTTAATTATCATCAGTGCTAAGTATGTCAAGGTGACACAGAAACTAATTTTTATACAAGCGTATGTCTACATGCGTAAAAATAGATTTAAATATAAATTCATTTGGCCAAAAAAAAAAACCCACCCTCACACAGTTGTTTTGAATGTTCTCGTCCTCCAAAATTCAAAGACACAAATGCAATAAACTCTGTAATGAGCAAGTTTTCTCCGGAAATATTCTTCAGGGACCCGCGATCGCACACAGGATGGTAGCTATGTTTGTTTCTCATGGTGAATTAAAATAATTGTTTCTTGGACCTTGAGTTATTTTATAGGTACTTTGAAACAAGTCGAGCTGGAACTCTGATTAAGATAAAATTGGTTTCACTTTCTTTGTGAGGGAACACTTGCAGGCAGCGAAATGGAGCATCGGGAGAAATCACTGCTAAGTGGAGGATGGTGTGCCACCGGCTGGACCATCACAGAGTGAGCGAGGCGCTGTCTCTACTGCAGGCAATTAGCACACCGAAAAATTCTGTCTACATAAATCCTGCTCAGAGTGGGAATAAACTGTATGTCTAGCCCCTACTCAGTAACAAAGGTGGAGCTATTTATATTATCTGTGTATCAATCTGTTTTTTTTTTCTTCTTCTTAACTTCACGAGGTGATCACACGAGAACGCTATAACAGATGTAATCAATGTTTTTATATTAACAATAAATCAACATTACGTTTATGAGGAAGGTGTCCCTCATGGTGACAGAGCCACGGAGAATTATTGTCCGACTCTGCAGTTACCCTCAGCATTTCAGTGTCTTTCAGCTAATTTAGTTTTGGTTTTATGGCACACAAGGTTTTGGGTCACTCGCGGCTCTCATCAGCTGTAATCTACTGCTAGCGAGTCCTCCATGTCAACCTACACAAGAAATTTTGGGTAATGTGCTTCTTTCGCTTTGTTGCTGCATGTTGGAGAATATTAATAACACTGTCATGTCTGCACAGTAAATATGAAGCTACTGTTTAGTTTAACTTAGCTTAAAGACTGGTAGCAAGAGGAGAGAGCTACCTCTAATCTGTTCAAAGATAACAAAATCCGCCAATAGCACTTCCAAAGCCCACTAATTAACATTTCATATCTTATTTGTTTATACTACAAATACAAAAACCATGGGTGGAAATTATACATGGATCAAAGAATATTACCCCTATAATGAGCAATGCTACACTTAATACACGGATGTCATACATAATATGCCTTTTCTTATCTTAATACTTTTCTCTGAAACACAATTGAGTGCATGTGACAAACAAAACAAACAAACAAACCAAAAAAAAAAACCCTGAACTATGCTGGGTGCAGCACACACGCTATCAATTCCTAGTCCTCATGCCCTAAACACAGACACCCTGCAGGGTGCTGCCACCTGCTCCCACAAAAGGTTTATCGTGCGCCCAGACAGAGGCACAAAGGGATGCCGTCAGCATCAGCACCCCAGCAGGACGTTCGCAGTCAGGAAGTTGAGGATCCAGGTGCAAATCACATCACACGGCATCCACAACAACTGGTCTCACAAGTACATCTGCACATCTGTGTGTGGACTACATGGGCAGGATCGTATGGTTGTATATATTTTTAGTCATCCAATCAGGAGATGATGACATGTTGCACTTCATAACTGTGTGATTGTACTAACAAAGGTGTTTTTTTCCTTAGATTTCCTGTTTGTTAAAGAACACGCATGTTGCAGAGTTTATGTGTGCACTCCTCTTGGAAACAATTTCCGTTTCAACATTTCCACCTGCTGTGTTTACAGCCAGTCTAATGACATCAGCCTGTGCAACCTGCAGCTCCGGTTTATAAATGACACAGATATCTGGCATCACAGACCTGGCACTGAAGAATAAAAAGGCCACAGCCTTCAGGTGCTGATTGCCCAGCTTTTCACACTCATGTCACTTAAATACCTAATATGTATGTATCGCCCACTAACCACCAGCCATTATCCTCTCAGGTTTAATATTGATATTTCTACATGGCTAAATGAACAGAGAACCACATGAAAAGGGGACGGAGCCAAAATCACCCCAAGTGAACCCGTGATAAAAATCCTCATTCATCCTATTATGTTTTGCTAGTGCAATCCAGGGCAACTAACACAATGAACAGAGCTCTGTGAACTCCCGATGACCTCCACATGCTGTGTGGTTCAAGAGGATACAGCAATAACGCATATTCATCACGCAGATAATTGCGAGGCCCACTCTGTCGCACATGTCAAGCCAATGTGACCACAGTGCCTCTGTCTTAATTGGTATTCTTAGAGCTATTCATACTCCAATATTCATGGTGCCCTTTTTCATTTCTTGTTTAATAAATGCAGCCGTTAATTGATAGTGTCACAACACAATGAAGAAGACATTTAGAGCAGCTATTTTGTAGATTAACTAAGGTGAGGGAGCAACATGTGTAGTGAATATATACTTAAAGAGACAGGCAGGTGAGGTGTGATAGTAGTCTGATGAGGATAAAAATGAAGGAAGAGCAGGTCTTTATACTTTGGCCCGACACAAGAGACTAACTTTAGCCCCGGAAGCCCTTTATTGGACTATGAAAATACTGTAAAATTAACTGAGGGAAGTGGGATCTTTTTTAATTTACAGTTGCTCAAGTAATGTGTCAATACTCTGTCTTCTTCCTAGAATGAGTCTAAGGTGATTTGATGTTGCAATAACAGATATGTTGGGCACTTGGGAGCAGCAGGAGCAAGCTGTAAACAACGCTGACACATTATCACCTTTATAGATGATTTATCACGTCTGGCAGACGCGAGCAACGTCAACATGTTTCTGACCGAATGAATCCAGTATTCACTAAATATTTACTATCATGAATTCCTAAGTGAAAAATCTGTCTCATTAATTACTAAACACGCTACTATGTTCACCTGCTGGTTGCTAAAACTGTCTGAGTAGTGCTGGATGGATAGTCTCTAAGAGGTTTTTAGAACTTTTTTTAGAAGATGAATGCTACCTAGGGCCTCTTTTAACAACCATTTGTACACATGGTTGAATCAACTGGGCTGGAAATAACATTGATAATGTGAGGTTAAACCAAAGCTGTAAAACTGTGGGCCCTTAAACCAAAACACTGAGCTGACAGATGTTAAACCACTTGCTACCGCTTTGGGGAAATAAAAATGGATTTTTTTTTTTTTACATACAACTTCTCATGTGATCATGTTTAATGCAAGAAATATTGATTATAGCTTCTTTAAAACTTTACATTTACATTAAGTTCCCTTCGGTGAAACCCACAATGAAGAGCTTGGCGAGATGCTTTGTTATCCGTATTATGTAATGTTTAAGCCTCAGCGTGGAGGGAACTGAGCAGAAAACTAAAGAGAACCAGGAGATGGTCAACAACTAACTGACCTCTCCAAAGCGCTGACTCTCACAGAAGTATTGGTGTCCTGAGGGAGAGCAGGAGTCATTACAGTGAAGTCGGCAGTTTCCTCAACCTGAACCTCTGTTATTGCACATTTATTTTGTGTTGTACATTTAATTGCCGTTATGTTACAAACTCTCTGAGAACGCAGAAACTCTCATCACTGAAAAATTAATCAGCTCGCAAAGCTGCAGTAAGCTTGTTTACAGTGAAATTAAAAAGATTTGGTTTTCTGTAGGAAACACAGTGTTGCTGTCAACGCATGCTCCAAACTTTACCACAAATTTTTTCTAAAGCACATCATCATGGACAGATTAAAAAATAAAATAAAAAAAATTAAAAATGAATGTCGTCCCTAAACGAAAAATTGATACATCTCATCATGGCAATTATTCACAGGAATTCCCAAATCATCTCTTGCATCCTTAATGTGATTAATAATCAATTTATGCATTTTTTTCCGCTCATTTACGGTCTAAGTCCAATATTTCACAGTACAGTTACCCTTGAGTAGGCCCCACACTGAAATTAGTCCAATGTAGATAAGATAAGCTTGACAACTGAGCAGCTCTGCATTAAGAAACGGTCAGGGCGAGGGGGAAAGGAGCTGCCAAACTGTCATTTCACTAGCTGGCTGACTGAGTTAGTGTATGCTCACAGCACACACTCCACAGCTCTTTTTTATGTTTTTTAGAGATCGGAAGGACAATCTAAACTGGAATATATAGTCACTGGCCAATTTACTATTTAGGGAACACTTTTATTTTATTGTTGATGCTGTCAAAAAGGTTAAAATTTTAATTGATGTTTATTACTGCATGTTGTTGTCATAAGGTTCCTAATATTTGGCTCTTCTCGTATATGCTAATCAGGTGGACAAAATATGCAGCCTAGCACACCACCATCTCCCACTAGGACCTCAATAATAAATATAAAATACAATCATCACCCCTTTTTATACGGCGTCGACAAAAACTGAAAATGTAGAAACCGCGTGAAGGTAAAATTCATAGCAGAGTTGTTATTTATTGGATTTCACAGGTGTGACTAATAAAGTGAGTGTATAATACTACAGCAGATAAACTGAGGCTCTGCTTCATGTTGAGCCACACAGATTTTAAAAAAACATCAGGCCATATATCAAGTGTATCGAGTAAACATTCCTTCTTTTATGGCGCAGGAAACACTAGTTCCAATCTGCTGTTGCTCACCTTGCTCCTGGAGCCATTTTTCCTTGTCATGTATTGTTATTAGAGAAGGGGAGTGCATTAGAGACTCTACTTTATATTCTCAGCGCTTTCAAGTTCAAAGGTAGTTAGGCGATCTTTAATTAGGGGTGAAAGGTGACCCAGTACCTGACGCAAGTTCCTCCGTTACGACAGGGAAGGTGCTGGCAGACAGGTGGGTCGCAGTTCTTGATGTTTCTCCCGCTCACCGCCTCGCCCACCAGGTAAATCTCCTTTGAGTTGACCTGAAGTTCCCTGATACAGCCGATGAATCTCCTCTCTCCTTTTGCGCTGCCGTCACGCATCTCCCAGTGGGATGAAACATCCCCAAGAAATATGGGCCCGAAGGTTCCCTGAGAAAAAAAAACAAAAAACTAAAAAACTCTAGACAGCCAGCGATCAACATTATGGTTTAGTGAATCACAGTAACTCGTACAATACACGTCTCCCTTTGAGCACTGAGGTTGAAAACAGATTCCAAATTCCCTGTGTGTATAATGTATTATTACTATTACTACATTAACAGCGCCCTAATGGATATTAAGATGAACGAGAGACATTATCAGCTTCAGTTACTCTTCGGCTTAATGCGGTCTTCAACTGTAAAAATCTTATTTATTCCTTTTTACTATCAGCATTTTTCCCTCAAAATTTCCCCCTTTTTATGTATTTTCATAGATTTATGATTTAAAATCCTATACCCCCTCTTCTACACTCATTTTTTGAGTGGATGTGGGGTAGGGGAAGTGATCAGTGGGTTTTCCTGGACATGTGATTTATTCTGTGTTGACTGACTGATTGCCTTTAAAAATAACATTAAATGCTAAATTACAGGAAAAAACAGCAATCTTTCTTTGTACCCCATTCTTCTAACATCATATGATAATTCACATCCTGATACAATGAGAAAGAAGTAACACAGCTTGAAAAAAAAACCCTCCTAGCTTTCTTTGATGTGCAAAGTAATTGGCTAGAATTAATATAGATAAATCCTGTGAACTTGCAGCTTATCCTACCATAACGGTCAATTTAACAAGTATAATTGCGTCTGTTTCCAATGTAGAGCCGCATAAAAAATGTAGCAAAAGACCATCTCATATTAACATTAAATTACATATATTTCATTCCCAGCGGTGACCTCTGGTTGTTCAAATGAATATTGAATACTACTTTCTATTTAGAAGGTTTAGATAACGTTCATGCCCGTGCCATGCATGATGATTAATTTATGAAAGACAAATCAAAATTTATCACAGCCCCATTACACATTCTTTCAAAATTACACAAACGCGGTGACAGTGGATTTCAAATGAAGAGCTCCCTTCATCAAAAAGGATTTTTGTTTAGTGCGTCAATGTTATTTTGTTCTGTTTTGTTTTGTTTTGCTATTGTACATAATGTGAAGGTCTTCTCTTTATATTTGTAACTTTCTTTAAACTGATTTCTATACGGGCTGCAAGGTGGCTCAGTGGTTGGTACCGTCGCAGCAAGAAGGTCGCCGGTTCGCGTCCTGGTGAGGACACCGGGATCTTTCTGTGTGGAGTTTGCATGTTCTCTGTGGGTTCTCTCTGGGTTCTCCGGCTTCCTCCCACAAGGTCCAAAAACATGTTGAGGTTAATTGGTGATTCTAAATAGGTGTGAATGTGAGTGTGCTTGGTTGTCTGTCTTTAAGTGAAGCCCTGTGATAGACTGGTGACCTGTCCAGGGTGTCCCTTGCCTTCACCTTGAGTAGACTCCAGCCCCCCACGACCCTAGAGAGGATTAAGCGGTGTGTAGATAATGGATGGATGGAGGATTTCTATACTGAAGATGACATTTACTAACCTATTAGAAAATTAACTTAATTCCAAGAAAACAATTAAAGCTATTTCAACATTTAGCTCGATTACACCCAAAATAATGTGAAAATTCTGTTGTGTTGTCAAAAATTTGCTAACAACTTCATGTGGGTATGACAACACTCTATATTTCTGTTCAAACTTGATAACATGGATACTTGATCATGTTCAAAACATGAATATACAATAAGATATAAAATAAATCCTACTTATGTAAGTCTCCAAGGCCCATTTCTTGCTTTGTTTGCATACATTTCCAAAGTTTTGCATGCTAATTATTTGTGCTAAGTGCAGTATAGGTAAACACTGAAGATGTCAAGCTAGTCTGAATCTTTATATTTGACATTGTGAAGTCTGAGCCATCACGTCTGAATTTATGTTCCAGTATAACATTTGTCATGACTGCATGCTGCTGGTGTTGGAAGAAAAGTGTTGGACAGCTGCAGTGGAGGTGTTTGGCAGTGGGACAGTGAGGTGTTAGACCACATAATCATTTGGGATATTGGCTTAACGCGAGCTTTAAATGACACAACTGCCGCACATTTGAAAAGCCTGTAAAAAGACACGGATAACGGGGCTGACGGGGACGTGCGCGCAAAGTCAACGCGAAGTTAAGAGCCCTGGAAGTATCTTTAACAAAGCTTAAGATTCAAATAAAAATAAGCAGCTGTGGATACGTTTACACCGAGCTCGACTGTATTTGTTATGTGATACAACCAGCTATGAGTCACTGGAGCTGCATGATGCCCGATGCGCCGATATGGAATGACTTGACGGTGCCTTCAAGTGTGTTTACCATGTTTATGAGAAGAGTCCATTTGAAAGACCCTCTGATGTAATATTCATGACTTTGTAAGTGGACTCACAGCACAGAGTTCACAAGCGCCTTATGCTCGTTTTTTAAAATTTTATTTGAAGGCAGCAGCAGTCGGTGTGGAATCTGTTTTATTATTATGTGTCTACATATTCTTCTGATGCTCATATAATTATGTTTAGATGATCTTTGCCATTAAAACAAATAAGCTATCAAACAGAAAGGGGAAAAAAAGCAACCCCACCAGGTAGCAGTGAGGCTTTCAAAGGGAAGAAATCGATATGTTTATGTAACTCCAGGTCTTGAATCCTTACATAGGCAATCTGTGAACTGTAAGACGAAATGTAAGAATAAACTCATTCTAAAACTCTCCTGTGTCTGCATACATGTATTATTTTTGCTCTAAACTGCTACGAAGGGTACGACTTGTTTTGTATTTCTAATATTACTGCACTCTTAGTTACTGCACATGTTACATTCTTGGAGTATTTTAACTACAAAAGCTTACCGTACTCTTTATGTTGTTTATTAATGTGTGCAATATGCTGAGGCAAGTTGCAGTTAAAATAATTCCACAGTATTATTTTGGGGCTGCAGAATCAGTTTCGTAATCATCAGTTATTCCACAAGATCATTTTGTATTATAAACATTAAGTTGCTCATTAATGCCTCTTTGCTTCTGAGTAATTTGACCTCATGGCGAGCAGTGAGTGTAACAGTAACATCCAGCATCAGAGTGGGAAGCCTGCTGCGAAACCCTAAGAAAGCATCCTTGCGTGCATCCAGTCGTGCCATGTCGGTGTCACTTAAAGAAGATTATTCACAGACAATCTATAGCTGACTTATTACCCAAAGCCCACAGTGACTGGAGAACACTATCCACCAAGAAATCAGGGTTTCATTACTCATAATTTGACATATACCAACTTTAGTAATAGATGCCATTAGTGCTTCACCGACATCTGCTAAACTGTCTGAAGAGTCTCAGCAGCAAAGACTGGAAAAACTGAGAGAAACTAACTTTTAGGATCTCTCTGAGGTCTGCAGCTGTGGGGGGGATTAAGGTTTTGGAGCCAGTTCTTGGTTTACAATTTCAAATTAAGTCGATTTTATTTACATTGTGTACAGCCAAATCACACAATTGTTTCACATGACGCATTCTATTGTTAGACTCTGTTCAGTGCCAGTAGTCCATTTTTTTTTTTTTAAATTGCTGTTTATTCCCCTTGCTAAAAAGCACAATTTCTGCAAAATATCACAAATGCACAACTGCTGAATGTCGGCAAATACAACAATCTGTCCAACGTGTGTCCAAATCAAATTTAGTTTCAGAGGATTTTAATTTAATTTGACTTTGTGCTGGATGCGATTATAAAAGCCTATTCATTCACCGCATCTTTCATCCTTGGTAATAAAAAAGCAGGCAAAAGGTTGACCGACAACCAATGGGCTATTTAACTGTAGCAACAAAAAAAAAAAAAGTGTGCTTGTGTAATTAATGTGTTTGCAACCAAAATTAAAGTTGGGGAGGGTGGTGGGAGAGAAACATCTTGGCATCTCAAATTAGACGACCATAAATCACACTGAGGGAGGCATGTTGAGCCAGTGGGAAGGTTGAGCCCCTCTCTGCGTCTTTGAACGTGAAAAGCTGAATTATTAATTTAATAACAAATATAGGTGTTGTTAATCAAATTAATGAGCCAGTGCCTGTGATTAACAAGTGAGAACGGGGCTCAATGCTACTTACATGCTTGCCACTTGCCATCATCTACGGAACACACTGTAACAGGTGCGTGCGGTTTTGACGGTAGCTCCTGTTGTTCATGCATAAAGCAACTTGAAATAGAAAAACAACATGTTGGGCTGGCTTTGATAACATATGGCTAAGCTACCCATAATGTTGCTGTCATGTGTTTTATTACATTTGAATGAGGCCACTCTGTCGGCTCAGCGGGGGATGCCGATGCGGAGGGCGCTGGGAAAATAACAGCGTGGGGTTTTGTGGGAAGAATCCGGCTCAGCTCGTCTGTCCAATCAAACACGTATAGCTGCATCTTCCCAGGTCACTCTCTAACATCAATGTATTTATACTGTTTACCTCAAGGACCTCACAATGAAGGGTGCAATAATAGCGGCAGTGATCAACTTCAAAATCACTGGATTCCTGAAATGTTGGACAACAACGTCTTAAATAAGTAAACTACGATACTAAATGTAATATACTAAATGTGACTCTGAAAGGTTTGTAAATTGCTAAGTGGCATTCAGGAGCATAACGGTAAAGAGCTGGTTGATTTCTCAGTGGAAACATATTGTATGTAAATGAACATCTGATGCATTTCCTTTGATTGTTTACTCATGAATGATGGAAGTCATGCATGAGGGATTATTTTACTGTTTTAATTACCATTTTAATATGACTGGGGTAAACTGTACTTCAAAAGGAAAGGGATATCAAAGACATGATTATGTGTTAGAAATGGACGTTTAAGATAATGGCTGTACAAAAGGGTTGCCGTGACTGCAGGCGGGTCAGGATACCTCTGACACGGGCTGTGACACGAACTCCTCGAGACGCTGAGCTGTGCCATTATCTGCAGCTACTTCAATCATACATGACCCTCCTTGTTTGCCAACAGGCAGATTGTATCTGTTAAGAGAAGAAAGAGAGACCGGGGTTAGTTTGAGAGGGCGTTTGGCAAAAAAAAAAAAAAAAATCTGATACTAACAGGAAATCCAGCAAAGCATGAAAAATATTCTGATGGAGAGACAGACACAGCAGTCACAGCAACGGAGCTGCTAATGTGACCACTGAGAATATACCATAAACTGACTATGTATGACTCGGTATACATTACGCACTGTTTTTATGAGAAACGCTATGCACTAGTAGATTGGAATGGAAGCAATGGTGCATTTGTATCCCACGCTATCGCCCAAAACCCAGGAGAGACAACAAAAATACAGAGTGTTTTCTCCAGTTGGATTTAAATAATAAGCCCAGAAATAGGTTTTCTGCTCAGTGCGGTTCTTTAAGGTGCTCCTCAGAAACAGCAAAAAAAAAAAAAAAGTCACTTACCAGTCATAACCAGTTTAATTTACGTAACCGATGTACATTATACCGTTAAAAAAAACAAATAATAATAATAAAAAATTACAATAACAACAATAAAAAAACAACCATGATCATGGGTGTAAGTGCTCATTATGTCATTCAAGATTAATTAATAATAAAAACGAGGGCACAAACTAGATATACATTATAACTCTAATGAGAAGGAAGACAATTTTATCATTTGACCCTCTGTGTCTCTCTGGGGAAATATACAATTGTACTAGTCATTAATGTTGCAGCCATAATGTTAAGTAGCTGGTCTACTTGTGTCATATTCCAGCTCTGGCAAAGTCAAGTGATTCCCTCTCACCAATTCATCACTGGCTTTATGCGGGCAATATACAATAGAAGCCTCTTTACAGGGCTCTGCATTATGCGAAAGGTTGTACACTCTGCACCGCGCTCATAAACACGACTCCGCTGGTGAGAAATCTAAATGCTGCACTTTTCTACACTCTTTGCTTGCAAACATGCAGTGCAAGTAATACGCTGCTGAACTGCACATCTGATTCTGCAAAATTCATTCGTCCATTCTTTGCGACTGTGCCAGTGTTGATTAGAAAAAAAAAAAAAAAAAAGCCTCAAATGTCTGCTTTAATGGCCAGATGGAAACAATCAGGGCAATCGCCCTCCTGCTAATTTGAAACAGCCTTCCAGGACGCCTCCCTGAGGCAATCATACGCGTACAACTTCAGGTAAGACTAATTACAGGTATGGAAATCATGAGAGCTGTTTTGTACAGACACATACAAACACTGATAAATTAAGGCACATTTAATATCGGGAACGTGGAAGGCAACCTAATGTCCAGACAAGACATCCATCACCATCCTCAGGGTGCCCGTGTGCTTCTCAGGTCATTCTCCTTACATTAGCATAACGCTACGTGATCAGTGGGTGACTTCAGAAAATTACCTGGCCCCACTGTTTATCTTCAAGTCACAAGAATATAACAAGATCCGAATGAAAACACTGAAATGAGCCAATAGTGCAGTCCATGTCTTTGTGCAGCACAAAAAAACAAAAAACGACTGTTTGGCGAGGTATGAAACATCACAATATTATTACAAAACCTTCTGTTGCCGAGGGCATTTGACGCATATTTTGGTTGCTTACTACAGTAGCTTTTTATTTGGACTGCTAATGCTGCAGAAACTGCCCCTATGAGACACAGAGAGCATGCTCACTAAGCAAACAGGATGATGTTACTTGATGAGCTCTCGTGAGCACATCGAATGCTTCACCAGGCTAATTTACATCGCTCTTGCTCTAAGGAAAAGATGACTATTTATAAAGATGACTATAACTACTATACCCGGTCTAGTCACTAGATAGCTACGGATACGCCCTGCAGCTCCACATTACCATCACCGCACACGTAGCAACACAAACACAAAACCACAATGGACTTTATCGCACAAACAAACATATGAATGAATCAGAGGGAAAAAAAGAGGCCGGAGTTTGTCTAACGCGGAGATGAAACACTATGTAATTTCTTATTGGGCTCCCTGTGCACCATTCACTGCTGGGTCTCATAGGACCGACAACAGCAAAGTCCCAACTTGAGGTAAACAAACAAAAAACGTATAAATATTTCATTTTCTCCAAACACGCAACACCACAATATGGCTGTGATCATTTTTACTTACTCAATCATCATTTATGCATTTGTTCATCTGGCTAATGCTCTAATCATAAGTGATTTGTCATCTCTAACATCCTCATTTAGACCGTGTCTGTGTGTGTGTGTGTGTGTGTGTGTGTGTGTGACTAATTCAGGGCAACGGCATTACTGCAACTTTCCTGAGAATCACCTCTGAAATATTACCTGCAATGTTAAGGGACCTTGCAAATATTTTCAGCGCCGCACCTTTCCACAAAGGTATTTGTTCAACCTGAAGGTAGGCGTTTGTCTTTACAATCCTATTTGAACGCGACTCCTTCACAGCCCTCTGCAGAAAATTAATAATGAGGGAGGATCATCATTAAAATATTACTATTGCATAAAAGATCTGAAAGTATTGGCAACAGATGGCAGTAAAACATCATGCACTGCACTGGTGCCCTTGCAACAGTTTTCACCGGCTGATGAGCAAGATGTAACACTTCTTTTAAAATGGCTTATTATTCTAACCATATTTCAGATCCTGACAAAAAGCAAATGATAATGTGGAGCATGTTAGTGGTGAATTTATAATTTGCGAGTCGTTTCGTGATTTAGAGTCAAGAGTGTATTAGTTCTGCAAACAGAGACAGTGCTTAGTAGAGTTTAATATCTGTGGGCAGACAGAGCAACTGGCTCACACGTTTTACATATATAAAGAGGACACCTGTTACCTTTACATTCTTACTGGCACAACAGGTTGTAGGGACACATCAGACGTGATGGAAAAGAGGAAATAAAGCCTCATATGATTATTAATAACAACATGCTATATCACACTGCAGCACCTATTGCACAAGACAGGAAGGATCTTGTTTGTTGGTTTCCCTTAAGTGCAACAAGCCCTGTATCACAACACAATCTACACCTACACTGGCTGTGAAGCCTGCTCTGGCTCTGGTGCAGTGACTTCCTCACACGGAGCACTGCAGCATTTGCTGCATAATTTGTGCTGTGACTGGCAAGCCTCAATTAATTTGGGTAGCCTGTGTTCTATCATTATATCTCCAGCAATACAATTAGACAGCACACAGCAAGGCTCTTGGTATTGTGGGGCTTCACAAAAGAAACTCCAAGTGAGCGGGCAGGGCTGCTGGTTGCTACTTCAATGAATCTTTTATGGGAAGACTTGTCAATACAACGTTGAATACTGTGGAGCTGATAAACATACCTTGCGTCGGATTTGGCACTGGTTCAAGAGGATGTGGATTTAAAAAATGCTCCGGATTAAGGTATGCATATGGCACAGCGCTTCCCCAAATAAATGATTCCCCATTAATCTCCCAACGATTAAAACCCAGAGAAAGTGCTAAGGATGGGTTCTGTCCACTGTTAGTGTACTTTGGGGAAAAAAAGTAATCAATGGCTGTATACTAATTACTTTTACAAGCTGCAAAGGGATTACTTCATCTATTACCTGGATGTTGTGGATTATATTTTATACACTGCGCTGTGATTACATGTATTTTGTGTGTTTAACATGTGCTGCTTCTGGGACCATAAAGTCTATCCGTCCCTCTATAACCAGCATCCACATGCATGTACTGAAATGCAGTGTAGGTGGAGAGACAAAAAAAAAAACCTGTTCTCTAGCTTTTTATTAGCAAGTGTGTTCCTGAGCAAGTTAACAGAGGTGAATGGATGTATCTGACCTGGAGTGGACTTGAACTCAGAAAGCCAAGCTTCTTTTTTTGTATTCCTTTGACATTAATTCAAAGAATTCAGACTCCTGAGATGTCCTGAAATGTCCTTCTAGTTGGAAAGTCTTTTTTATGTTTACAGCACTTCGTCTGTTTCTGTCCTCTTAATGATGTTGTTGCTAGGCGACATTTCATACCCTGTATTTTTATTTTTTTTTACATTAAAACCCCGTTCAGTGGTCAGTGAAGAGACATCGCATATATGTTGCAATAGTCATTAAATAACAGTTAGAATGTAAAATGTAATGCAAGTAATCATTTCACTACTTTAACAACTGATCACAGAATTTGAAACAATATTCGTTTAGATTTAAATTAGTGTGGAAAAACAGTTACCGAAACATAATACTTTAAACACTGACTAATTATTCATGCATTAATCGCATTGTTTTGTCCTGTGTTATGAGGGGATTTTAAAAACAGGAACATGTTGTTTCAGACTTGAAGTGGTGACTCAATAAAAACCCACAAACCTTGAATTCTTAACAGAAAATCTGATTTTACGAGGCGGTCAGGGTGTAACGAAAGTCAGATTATATGTGTTTTTTTGCAGCTTGACCTATAGGAAATAAAAGTCAGGACATCTTGGCCTCTGCATCATCAGTCTTCCATTAGTCATAGATTTGGTTGATTGATCCCTGGCTCGTCCTGCGCACACGTTGTACTGTCCTCAGGCAAAACACTGAAGTCAAATGTATGTGTGCACAAAGAAAATGTGGTTTTGGACACGATTGTCTAAATGCAATGTGAATACAGCGTATAAGCACTAAAATTGGGCAAATAATCATTTCAGAAATAGGGAATATCCCTTTATAAGATACATAATTCAGCGCTCTTTTTGTTCTTACAAGGTGGTCACGCATGCAAATTTTGGCTGGAGTGAAATATATGAGACACAAGTAAATCAATTCAAATCAGAATTATAATAAAAAAAGACTTGCAACAATACTCTATCCCATCAACAAATAAACATACAGGCAAGGTGTTTTGGATCCTTCACTATCCATGATTGAGTGTAACACATTTTCCTAGCATCAAACAAAGAAGTTCTGAAAACTGTGAGGAAACAGCAGACGTGATGGCCGGGTATTCATGCACTGCTCCTCCTGAAACTGGAAATTTAGTGCATTTTAAACAGGAATAATATGACGGTCTATAAAAACATCAAT